AAAAATCTATTATAAGTTCTCGTAATGATTGTTTTTGACTCTCCAAAGCCAAAATAATGCTATGAAATTTTTCAAGATATTCATCACCACCAATTATGGCAAATTGAATAAGTTGCTCTTGTGAGTTAATAATCCCTTCCAAGTGCACGATATATTTGTGAATCATATTGAGTATAAAATTTGTCAAATTTCAAAACACTAACGTTCGTAGAGTTTTTTGCCAAAATTTTTAATAACGCAATAATATTATCTCTAATGGTGAAGTTGCTGTAGACTGGTATTGTACCCAAAGTTAAATCTTGAAGTTGAGAGAAAAATTGCCCATTTTGTCCTAATGAGTAGAAGATTTCTGGCTTAATTTTAGTATCTACAAAAGGATTTAATAGTAATTTGTTCAAAGAGGCGCCATTCTCAATAAATAACTTACTAATAAATTAGTTATGTAAAATATTAATAAATTATCAGGTGATATCAGACCAACATGTTGTAGTTTGAACCATTTATTAGTTATTTCTTCTAGGCAATATAAATTGAGAACCTTAAGAAAATTTGCATAATTAAATAGTGTTTTGGAAAATTCTAGATTGATCTCATGGTTTTTTAAAATCAAATTTCATTATCATTAAGAGATGAAAGATATTTAGAAATAAATGATGGCTATCGATCAAATGAAGATAGATCTTTTCAAAGAATAGGAATAGATATTTTGCACCAATGTTGACTCACAAGTCCACATGAGTATAAGGAATAAAATTCATTCTCTAAATCATTAAGAATAATTTCTATTAATTCGGGCATACTGCCCATAAATATTTTGATGCCATGAATTATATTAATCCATATCAGAAAATGATGCAATGGCGTCAAAGATGCTTTAAGTACCTAAATAAATAACATGTTAATAGAAGTTAATGCAAAAGACAAGAGTCAAAGAAAAGTAATAAAAATAATTATAGTCAATTCTTTCTATAATGAACTAAGGGAAATTGCTATGTTTTTAGGACTGCCTTATTATATCAGATTTTAAAAAAAACTTTTACTAACTATTGAATTTGAACAAGGATAGGTTTATTGTAAAAGATGTTTCGGGTTTAATACAGTACTTGAATATACTTGGTTCTTGCAGTTTGTTTTAGTCAGTTAGCCATAATAAGGTTTGGTTTGCAGAATGTAGATTGTATTAACAGTTAATGAGTTGAGGTTTATTAATAATAAATATCACCTACTTCGCTTTATATATATTGATCTAGCATAGCAAAAGTTCATTTTGATTAGTTGTTAAAATACCTTGGAAAAAATGTTGATCATACCTCAGATAGATTACCGGCTATACTGGATAAAATTTATTACTCATGAACTTTTAATATTTTTTTAAAAATGCTATTAATTCAGTTTAATAATAACTTTTAATTACTTGAAAGCACCTGGTATAAAATCCAAACTAGTATAATCTCTGCAGCTCTTCAATACATACCCAACAAATGATTTACTGTACGCAATTTCCAATATATCTATTCTCCTAAAGCATCTCAATTACACTTTCATCACAAAAAATTAAGTAATATTATTCATCAAGTTAAAGCATCTATCAAAAACAAAACTGCTATACCTAACAACCACAACACCACAATCAATTCTATCAACTCAACTCATAATCTTGATATCCCAACTATACCAACTAGTCATGACCTTTTGCCAAC